CCAAGGAGGAGGCCCTGGAGCTCGTCAATGGTACCTGGAGAAACCTGGGAATGGGAATATTGGGAATACTGGGAATACTGGGAATGGTGGGAATGGGATGGGGGAGGCAGGGCAGGATCACCCCATCCACAACCAGTCGAGCTGCCCCCTCGTCCTGGAGGCAGGACAAGATCAGCAGGTCCAAGGAGGAGGCCCTGGAGCTCGTCAATGGTACCTGGAGAAACCTTGGGAATGGGAATATTGGGAATACTGGGAATGGCGGGATTGGGAATGGGGATGGGGTTGGGGGTGATGATGATGGGGATGGTGGGGATGGGGTTGGGGAGGCAGGACAAGATCAGCAGGTCCAAGGAGGAGGCCCTGGAGCTCCTCAATGGTGGGTTGGGATAATGAGATAATGGGATTGGGAATACTGGGAATGGCGGGAACGGCGAGAATCTTTTTCCCTGTAAATGAGTTTTTCTTCCTTGTAGGTGAATTTTTTTCCACTAAATGAGATTTTTTTCTCTGTAAATGAGTTTTTTCCTCCCTGTAAATGAGTTTTTTTCTCCCTGTAAATGAGATTTTTTTTTCTTATAAACGAGCTTTTTCTCCCTGTAAATGAGGGGTTTTTTGCCAGTAAATGAGTTTTTTTCCATGTAAATTATTTTTTTTCCCTGTAAATTATTTTTTTTCCCTGTAAATGACTTTTTTTCCTCCCGTTTCTTGCAGGTTACATCCAGAAAATCAAATCAGGGGAGGAGGATTTCGAGTCTTTGGCCTCCCAGTTCAGCGACTGCAGCTCGGCCAAGGCCGGAGGGGATTTGGGGGCCTTTGGCAGAGGTGAGAAATTTCCCCTACGATCCAAAAAAACACCCCAAAAACCACCCACTTTGGGGCCAAATCCCTCCCCAGTCATTCCCAGCTCCCTAATTCCCTGTTTTTTTGGGAATCTACCCCCAGGGCAGACGCAGAAGCCGTTGGAGGACGCGTCGTTGGCGCTGCGGGCGCAGCCATTTTGGGGTCGATTTTGGGGTCGATTCCATCTCAAATCATCCCCAATCATTCCCAAATCATCTCCAGTCATTCCCAACTCCCTAATTCCCTGTTTTTTTGGGAATCTCCCCCCAGGGCAGACGCAGAAGCTGTTGGAGGATGCGTCGTTGGCACTGCGGGCGGGACCGTTTTGGGGTCGATTTTGGGGTCGATTCCATCTCAAATCATCCCAAATCATCCCTAAATCATCCCCAAATCATTCCCAGCTCCCTAATTCCCTGTTTTTTTTGGAATCTCCCCACAGGGCAGACGCAGAAGCCGTTGGAGGACGCGTCGTTCGCGCTGCGGGCGGGGCCATTTTGGGGTCGATTTTGGGGTCGATTTTGGGGTTGATTTTGGAGTTGATTCCATCAAATCATTCCCAACCCTCTAATTCCCTGTTTTTTTGGGAATCTCCCCCCAGGACAGACCCAAAAGCCGTTGGAGGACACGTCGTTGGCGCTGCGGGCGGGGCCATTTTGGGGTCGATTTTGGGGTCGATTCCATCTCAGATCATTCCCAATCATTCCCAGCTCCCCAATTCCCTGGTTTTTTGGGAATCTCCCCCCAGGGCAGACGCAGAAGCCGTTGGAGGACGCGTCGTTGGCGCTGCGGGCGGGGCCATTTTGGGGTCGATTCCATCTCAAATCATTCCCAATCATTCCCAGCTCCCTAATTCCCTGTTTTTCTGGGAATCTCCCCGCAGGGCAGATGCAGAAGCCGTTCGAGGACGCGTCGTTCGCGCTGCGGGCGGGGGAGCTGAGCGGGCCGGTGTTTACGGATTCAGGGATCCACATCATCCTGCGCACCGAGTGAAAGTGCCTTGGATCGGACCGGAATTCCAACCGTTTCCTCCCCTCCCCCGTCATTTCCCCAATCCCCCTAAAAATTCCCAGCTGCAAAAATCCCGTTCCCTGAAAAAAAAGAAATTAATTGTCATTCATCTCCACACCCCTCCCCCCCCCCAATTTCCGGGATTGGAGGGTTTGGGAGGGAGGGAAAAGGGGGAATTCCCGAGGATTTGGGGGGGTTTGGGGGAAGGGGGGGAGGGGGGTGGCATTGACGGTGATGATGGTGGGGACACAACCAGGAGGATGATGGTGACGATGACACAACCAGGATGATGATGGTGACGGGGACACAACGATGATGGTGGTGATGATGACACAACGAGGATGATGATGATGGTGATGGGGACACAACCAAGAGGATGATGGTGATGATGGGGACACAACAAGGATGATGATGGTGATGATGACACAACGAGGATGATGATGGTGATGACACAACGAGGAGGAGGATGATAATGATGATGACACAACGAGGATGATGATGGTGGTGATGACACAACGATGATGGTGGTGATGGGGACACAACAAGGAGGGTGGTAGCGATGATGACACAACGATGATGATGGTGATGGTGATGGGGACACAACGAGGATGATGATGGTGACACAACAACAATGACGATGGTGACACAACAACGATGATGATGATGGTGATGGGGATACAACGATGACAGTGATGATGGGGACACAACGATGACAACAACGATGGTGATGGGGACACAACAATGACAATGATGGTGACACAACAACGATGACGATGGTGACACAACAACGATGATGATGATGATGATGGGGACACAACGATGAGAACAACGATGATGATGATGACGGTGATGGGGACACAACGATGACTGATGGTGACACAATGATGATGATGAGGAGGACACAACGATGATGATGATGATGGGGACACAACGATGACAACAACGATGATGATGATGGTGACACTGCGATGAAGATGGCAACGATGACAACAGTGATGGGGACACAACGATGATGATGATGGTGACACAGCAACGATGATGACAGTGATGGGGACACAACGATGATGATGGTGATGATGGGGACACAACAGTGATGAAGATGATGATGGTGGTGATGGGAACACAGTGGTGACAACAATGCCAGTGACGGTGGGGACACAACGATGATAACAATGATGGTGACGCAACAACAATGAATATAACGGTAACAACGAGGATGAAGATGACGATGATGATGATGGGGACACAACAGCGATGAAGATGGCAATGACAACAGTGATGGGGACAACAGTGACAATGATGATGATGATGGGGACACAACAACGATGAAGATGGTGGTGACACAACGATGACGATGATGATGATGATGATGATGATGGGGACACAACAACGATGAAGATGGCAATGACAACAGTGATGGAGACACAACAATGACGATGATGATGGGGACACAACAACGATGAAGATGATGGTGACACAACGATGATGACACAACGATGGGGACAAAACAACGGCGATGAAGATGGCGACGATGACAGTGATGGGGACACAACGATGCCAGTGACACAATGATGGTGATGGTGAGGTCATCAACAATGACATCACTGCCAGTGATGATGCTGGTGCCAACGATGATGATGAAGATGACAGCAGTGATGAAGGTGACCGTGACGTTAATGATGATGATGACGTCATTGCCAATGACGTCATTGCCAGTGACAATGACGATGACCATGATGATGCTGAAGGTGACAGTGACATTGATGATGGTGATGACGTCATTGACAATGACGTCATCGCCAGTGACGATCACGATGGCAGCAATGACGATGACGATGACGTCATTGACAATGACATCATCGCCAGCGACGCTGACGATGACAATGACGACAGTGACGACTGATGATGACGTCACTGACGACGACACCGACGATGCCGATGACGATGATGATGACGTCATTACCGATGATGTCATCATGCTGGAGATGACACCGACTCCGCCACCGCCACCCACCGACCCCTCCCTGGAATTTGATCCCAAATCCTCCCA